AAAACTAGTGTTTGGACAGGTGATATGGAATGTGCGAAACATGGTCTCCAAGAGGAAAAGCTAGCAACTGCTTCATCATCGAATGTGCATCAAAGTTAAACAAAAATGCACACAATCGTTTGTTCGGCATAACTACTTTTGTAAATCAAACCTTTTGCTTCAATTTCAAGTTGTTTTGACCCTCCGTTGATGAACCTGATTTCCGTCCGCTTCGCAGCCTGAAAACGAGACGTCGTCAAAATTTATTTCTGCACCGATGCCGACACAAGTCGTGTTTATTTTCACCCCTGCGTCTGAAATTAACTGCGCGAATTTATAATAAGTAGCAGCACATCCACCTACCTTCCTGCACATCTTGTTCCAGCCGATTTGCATGATTATGGCGATGTAAACCACGGATTCCACACCCGTTCCTGCACATAGGCCCCACCAGAAACCTACAAAGTTGGCGTGTTCATTGTACGTGAGATCAGCAGACGCTGTGAGTAGGGACAGACCTGTCAATTTTATTCATCAAATCTTAAATCTTCACAGCCAAACACCTCAATAATGACTCCTATGCTCTGAGGTTGCACTACAAACTTCGATGGTTACCGCTTTATAATCCCTGAAGTGGTCCATTGCTTCTGCCCAAAGTCGACTGGCTGTTTCGTTATTACAAATGCAATTGCGTTACTTGCAACCTTTGGGTGGGGTTCTGTGGCAGAAATGCGGCAGAACGCATGTTTATGCAACCATATGAACGTACCGGAGACGCTGGGGTCAGTCAGCATCAGGTGACTGAGACCCATTGGTCCACCGATCAGGTACATGCAGACCATGCAGATAATGGCACCGGTTCGCTGCATTCCAACTCCATGAATGATTCCGGAGCATACACCCTTGTGAAAACAAAGTTTTCTGACTGTTGAATGCTGAAACTGGCCTAAGAAATTGTCGATTTTGGCGGGTCAGTAGCTCGGTTCTGCTGGAAATCCAATTTCCATGTTACCGGTCCATTCATATGTATGCCAGGTTCTACAACTCCTTTTATTGTGCGCAGAATTCGACTAATTCAGTCAAATTCGAGGAATTACAAATTCATTACACAATGCAATCGTACTCTACTCCATAGACTCTACCTATATTTTGTATTAAGGAAAGTGTAATTAAAGTGCTACTTCATGCATGCTTGACCCTTTCAGAGATTTCGACTACTATTAGCCAGGGCTAGCCGGTGTATGCACGCCTTATTACCACCAAACTCACTCCCAGACAAACCCGCTCCTGTGAATGACGAGAGTTTACACGCAAAATTGTTCACAAATGGCACCATTGGTAAATGTTGAAGTAAAATAAAAGCAAGACATAAACAAGCAAGCAGTCAACTGTAGAACACTACCACTATCGCTCCAACAAAGTGGAAACATGTTATCGAGGTCAGACTGTGAGCTGTCCTTTGGATGATTTCTCTACAAACAAAAAAATTCAAACATATTCGAAGAAAAAAGTGGATTTTGAAGTCCCGCTCCATCGGGCAAGATTTAGAACCAGCAAAAGTTTAATTTGGTAGAGGAGTTTGGCATAGTCAATGAGATGGCGTTCACGTCAAGTTACTTATTTGGAACGTGTACACACAAACTTCAAGTCTGGTTACTGCATCGGTATGCAGCTGTGACATTCTGGAGTGCTATCATTAACTCCATTTTTCGCCAAACTTCTAAGCACGAGAGACGAGTATGCTGCCCACCCTTGTATTTGCTCTGAAAACGGTGAGGGTGAGGGCAGTCACTGCTCTTGTCGCAGCGTACCACGTGTCGGGTGATATTGAACAAACCGGTCACTAAAGCAGTCTTGATGGAGGGCTGGCATCATGGCATGAAGCTCTCTACAATCGCTTGACGTAGATCACACCAATGGCGAGCAGTGTTGTGAGTACAAGATTCAGTGAAGTCACAAGTTCATCACCAAAGTGCACCCATTGCGAGACCAAACCTCTCCCCTTCAAATCGCCTGAGTGGATTGATACAGGTTTGCAGGTGACCTCACCGCTGTGACAGATGCAACTGGCCTCAGGCATCCAGTTGTAAGCATGGCCAAGAGGAACAAAGGTAAACTGCGAAATTCACTCACAAAATAGACGACTCACAACTAGGGGGGTTGCAGGAAGGAGGGTTTTGGATCCGCCCATGCTCTGATTCGCAGCAGACCTAGATTCTGTGGGACTGCTGTCTGGTGGGTGTCTAGTGTACAGCCAACGCGTATCAAATCTTGCAGAGCGCATTACAATGGTGTCATGAATTCATGAAAATGGCACTGCAGGCGAGCATGAATGTTTGAGGTGGTGAGTCAAAATTATGGTCTGATAGGTTGTAAGAATAGGTAATTAGGTGATTGTTTGGAAGTTAGAGGCCTTGCAACAGGAAAGGCTTGCAGAATTAGCAAAAATTTCCACCTATCTGTTAAAGGACGAAACCGGTAGACGGCAACCTAAGGCGCAGATGGGCTAGTTCGTCGTAGCAAATCAAAGCACCTTTAAAGCATGGAAGCAACCTTTCAGCTCTCATGGGATCAAGGAAAGTCGCTTGCTACCTCAATTAAAATTAGCAAAAGCGATTTGGTGCGTGTAACTAACGACTCTCCAGTGAAAACATGTAACCTGTCGTAGCGTACACTCAGTATAATTGTATCCGAGCAGACGAGGGCAGGAGTGGTTGTTGAATGCGTCACAGCAGGCTAAGCGACAGCTCTTGGTGACACTGAATACTACCGCTTTTTGCAGTGGACATGCAATATGCCATTTCAACAAGATGATTGTGCCCGACAAGACCAGAGTGGTCAAGTCAAGTGTTTTAAGTATAGAGACACAGGCAACTGGGTTTACCATTCTTTTGAAGCTCCCTCCAAACCATGTGCACGCATATGATGAGACTTACGGATCGTTAGTAAATATCCGAGGAATATGGAATCTCGTCAGCATGATGATGACGGAATTTACGATCGCAAGAAACACTGAAACAGCAAGAACACGCGTAGAATGGGAAGCAGTGCGTGCTCGGATTATCCTTAGAGCAGTGTCGACTAGAGTACCTATTGTGATTAAAGCGACGCATGCCGTCGACCTTGGTACTTCTGCTTTATTCGCCCCTAGGAATTGGCCAATTCGTATTGTTGTTGCAATGCAAAATCCCAAAGGAAACTGCAAGAAAGAAAGTGACCCATCAGTTTTCACTAATCGCGGATGGTTGGTCGGGCAAATACCAGGCTAAACTAAACTGCTCCTCTGACCTAGTCGTCCGCTGTTTGGCCACTCTTTGGAGTGCCATGTTGTCAAAGGAATATCTTGATTTAAGCGAAAACACAAATTGTCAGGAATAAATGTGCATATAGGCTTCTGCCCTAAATATTCACAAGCAAACCCTCCCAATTTCCAGGAAATCTCTCCTACATTTAAATTATCAGTGGAGAATGTAGTTATTCAGATTGGAAATCTGTACTTAGGGACCCCCTACGGATGTCGCCAACTTTACCGGAGAGGTTCCCATAATTTTATGCAATGAGTTCGCCCAAAATCAGTAAACGTACCGTGCAGTATAGCAGAGACTCAACATTATTAAGGATCGTCTGGACAGCTAGCGCACGCTCCCTACGAAGTCCTTTAAAGGAAATGAAAGTTGGCAGCAAAAGGGCCCCATATGCAAATGCATTAATTCTTTACGCCTGTTTCTACAAGCTCAGCACCGCCTGCAGGGCTCCCGCTTATTAAGCGAAAATTCCAATTGCAAAGGCTTTATTTGGGTATTTTGATATGCATGAACTTGGACAATGAAGACGTTGTGATGCCATTGAACACGACCAAACTTCTGCGGTCAGAATGTCGTGTATTTCTCATGCACAAAGAACACCTTTATGACCCACTTGTTCTAGACTATTGCAGTTCCTGATTGGAACAAAGGCCATTACCTGCAGTAACAGCCGTGCTATTCTGTGGCTTGATAAAAGAGGGATTGATGCGTACACCATCCGGCTCTATAAATGCTAGTGGACCTAGCACCATACAGCCGTGTTTTCATGACATAATTGCAGGGGAATCGGTAGCGTCGACAGCCAAATTTTGCTTTATCAAACAATTGGTCTGAGATGTCTCTTGTAATATGCACATTTGGAGGTGAAATGGAAAGATTTACCTGAAAGGAGGCTACCAGATTCATACACCCACCACTCAAGACCTCACATCATCATGCCAGGTATCGCAAGACGGAACCAAGTGCCCCAGTCATGCCACAGCTCCATGTGGATGGCTGCAACACAAAGAGAGTACATTTGTGAATCGTCATTACTCAACTGCACTTGTCACATTTGATCGGTTTTCTCACTCTACCGCTGTTACTATGGTAGATTCGTTATGATTTTGGTGAGCTTTCCCTCCTCGAAGTTATTCACTTCATTTCCGCCTAACATTGAGAGGCATTCCCGCGTCTGTCAATATCCACCCACCTCGGGAACGGATAGACATTTTCTTCAAATATGGCAAAAAGCCATGCAATCTAAATGTACGCCCTCATCACATCTCGAAGTGGAGCAATTGACAGTCGAACTCACCATCCCAAGTTGTTCGATAAATGCGTGAGATTAGGATGTAGACAGCAACAACTGACGCCTGTGCCATAAATCCCGGTGATTGCGAGATCGCTGATCCACTTTTTAAAGGAGAAATATTAGGCTGATGAGTGATTTAGAAAACACGTGACATCGTGGCTAGTTTCACTTGAGATTGTTGCAAAACTGATAAAACAGGGGCATAGAATTATGCTACCTTCCATTCTTGTTGGAGTTGTCGACACTTGGAGCATATTTTAAACGTGAAAATTAGTGTTTGTTAGGAGGGACTTAGAGATCTTGGGATGTCCCACGACCCATAGGGAGCTGGATTGCAAAAATGGGCTTCTTTTAGTCCTAAGATAGCAAGTCTCATGTCAACAAGTTAGGCCTCATATTATGTTAGTGTAATTTGCATTCCACTTGTCAAATGCGTAGTTTTAGACAGACCGAAGTCCATCGACATTTCGGAAGACCATAATTTTTCTGACGCCATGATTACTTGCAGACCCACTCATCATTAAGGCTTCATCAGAAGCAGTTAAAGAGACCAAATAGTGTCAAGTCGTGTATGTTGTTAGAAGGTAACCTCAAATAGGCATTGCCAACCTACAAAAATCCGAAATCGCTGTGAAAAGTGAAGAGGTAGTGGGCACCAGCGTTGATGAGGTTGCCGGTTATACTCGCCACGAGGGGCGGATACACCTTATTCTAGAATGCATGCAATAAGTAAAAGTGGGCAGAAGGAAGTTGAAGGAGAATTGGGCACTCACTTACTTGAGCTTGGATGTATTTGGTGAAGATTTTGGTTATTGCTATGAACTAGAAAGAGCTGCGGTTACACGGTAGCAAAGAGACGACTCACGAACAGCCCCGGTATAAGTCCCAGGAGGTAGTTTCCAGTGTACCTATGAGCCAAACAAATTTTCACCATAACTCCTGATTCTCTAGCTTATTGGATAGTTGTCTAGGCGTGGTGGACTGTACTTGCCCTAGGTGCACACAAGCCTAGTAAGGCTCGTTCGTCTGAAGGTGAAAACAAGTGGGCATTTATGCTAAAATATGTCGCAATCAAGCTGTACACCTCAGTGTTAACACCTCTAGCGTTTCGCGAAACTGCGCTTTTACCAAGAATAATTGCAATCAGCCCGCCAGTTTCCTAAGGCTTTGCTTAGTAAATTATGGAGTACTTTGATTTAGGTATCAACGTCACGTCAATCTTACTTGGCTACTAGCGGCGGTTGTTTTGTCACCAGGAGAATGGACTCAGTGATGACGTAGATCGCCCAATACGGAAAGCAGCAAAATGTCAAAATGACGATAGCTGAAATTCACACGTGGGCTTGTGGACCACCCGAATAGGAAATATATAACATTCACACGTAAAAAACCGTCTTGCAGTCTGAATCAGGCTGACATTCCTGTTCTGAGAACGCATATGTTGCGTAAAGTGACAATTTATCGAAATGCTATCGCACCACTAAGCATGCACTCCCTTCGTGCCAAGGGCACAAATGAAATAAGATAAGTCATGTGTATGAAAACACGGTTATGGAAGCCGTAGCAAGGTAAGCATCGAGACTAGGTCACCTGATTCAGTACAAACACACTGTAGGCGCAGTTACTATTCGCCGGGTATTTTCTAACTGCAACATAATATCCAAACTCTTTGGGAAATACTGCGAGTGATGGATACACCATCTGACACACAGCCGGCAAACGTCTTTGAACTTGAACACCAAGGCGAAACTTGTTTATTCCATTGAATGTCTATAATGCACAAGCCATGAATTTCGTGTTACCATCAAGACCAACAAATTTGGTGAGGAAACTATTAAATTAACTTCGTTTCGCTTTTGGTAGCGTAGTGGAAAGATGCATAAAAGTACTCATGATATTAACTTTGGGGTAAACAGGCTCAGCAAGATCCCAGAGCAACATAGGTGACCGAGAATTCTGTCCAAATGAAGGAAACGTGAGATCCAGAGCGTGGGATTTCCAGTGGTCGAAGCATTATGTAAAAGTCCTTAACTTCCTAAAAAAAGCACAATGCCTCCAATCTCCGCACGGAAAATGACATTCCTTCTACAGCTTTCACACTCGAGGTACTGCGAATTTTCAGACTCCATGCACAAGCGTTCCAATTTATCTTCAAGGGCACTGGAGCAGACAAGCAATCGCTGGTGTGGAATACCTGTGAAAAGAGAGTTTCACTGGCTGTAAGGAGCCCAAATATAATTGAAATGCCTGCCACATGAAAGATTGAAATGGCAAGACCACCGGCGGCCAGCTCGGTTTTTCCCAGTCGACCGAGGAAAAAAAGACTAATTGGGACTGCGGCGTAGTTACTCATGCTTGTTAGCATCTAAAACATTAAAAATGTGAAAATTGTGACCAATTCATGCTAGAACTTTGCATATCTGCATCATAGAGATGGGCGCAAATGTTGAACAGAGGAAGCTTTTCAGATATCGGCTACCTTCCGCCTGTTTCTAAAAGGATTCATTTACATCTGCTCAAATTTTACGCAGACACTGGGGCCAAGTGAACACTAATTTTCACCGAGGCGTGCGTTCTCGCCCTCGAATTCGGCTGCAACCTATCTGCCAGTTGCGCAAATTGCCACGGTCGAGATGATTGTAGTTAATGTGGTGGATCAGTGCTGCCGCTCCTGTGTAAAAGTTGATGGCCGACGAGGAGGAGTACAGAGCAAAAATGAGAGATCAACAACTAGTCCATACCCTCGCTGCTGCAATGCCCGAAACGACGCCCAAAGCCGTACAGTGGGAATGGAAATGGAATAAGTGAATTAATACTGGAAGCAACAATAAGCAGGGTCCGTACGTACGCAGATGGAAGAACACAGTCAATAGCAGAGCGCTCACGCAATTGTTTGGAAGAGATTGCATGTTTTAGCATAGCGAGTGTTCCGCAATCATTATTAAGCGTATATTGTGGTCAAAACTTGGTAGGAACTACAGAACTTACTATCGGGAGTGCCAGCATGCCCAGATACTTCCATTCATACCAAAATCCATAGGGAAAATAGCGGGCCCACAGACCCTCCCGCATTGGGGGCAGCTCTTCATGCAAGTCATCGATACTGCCAATGCTCTCTAAAAGACAACGAATGGGACTTTCCTTTTAGATCTGGCATTTACAAAAGGTGTTTAATGGTACATCTGCCTTTGGTGGACAAACAAAATCGCATATTACACCAATAACTTTTCGCAACCCATTTCGT